GCCCCCAGAATCCTCCACGGTCTAAGAGAGTATCGAATCGAAAAGACCATCGAACCATGGCTACCAATAGGACCAGGAGGGGTGGAAGAGGGAGATCGACCTCATCGACTTTTACCAAAAGTTACACCATACCACTAGGACTGAATCCGCAGGATCAAATATTTAGCATCATTTCTTTTGCGATGTCCTCGGCTTGTCGCTTTCTCGCAGGCGCAATCCTTACCCAATCTCTGGCAGGAGCGAAAAGTCTCGCTGGTCTCCCGACGCTCTGGCAACGATACAGTTTTGCTTAGGCAAACGTTACTTCACAAATTTATTCTTCAGCCTCGAGGACCGATATGACCTTTCGTTGCACAGCTACACATCCGCCGCGACTCGTATACTGAATTGCGCTTAGGCGAGGAGGGTGATAAGGTGTGTGGGGAGGGGAGGGGGGCGAGTGCGAACGTGCCAAATGGTGAATGGCGAAAGGTCGAAATGGAATTAAAGAGGAGGCTGGAGAGAAAGGGTATAGAGAAATATATAGAAAAAGAAGGAAGGAAGGAAGGAAGGAAGGAAGGATGTGAACTCGGTTCACGATTCCTCCTATTCCCCAATAAAAGTGTCCCACTTCGATTCGGATCGCCGAGTGTTTCTCTTTCCCACAGGCAATAAATCCATACTTACTCTTTATCCTACCTGCGCTTTGTCGCTGGTCGGTATTGTCGCGCCGAGAGCCTGAATTAAATTCTGAGATTTATCGCGTCAATAACCGCACATTAATTTATGATTCCGCGAAACTGTAAACCAAGTCCGAACTGCCGACAATTGTTTCGCCGTTTCGGTTTTCCACGAGCGGGACGCCACGCGGCGTCGCGACGTCGAACGATGCTCGATAGAGGGATGCACATTTCTACGGTACTGGCTATTATGATATCTACCGCTGGCTATAGGAGCTTTCAAAGAGCCCCGCGCCCGCCCACCGATTATTTCTGACCCGTGACTCATGACTCGCGACTCGTGAGTTTCACGCGAGTCTCGTGGGTCTCGCGACTCGTGGTGCGCGGGGGCAGCAGCCGTCTGCCATATGCTGCTGGCGTGTTCGACGTCTAACTTCTATTGACCATTACTCAACATTACGCTCGCAACTTGCATTCGCCTGGCAACCTCCAGAGCGAACGATCTATCCATTTGGCACAATCGCCACCACCGATTTGATTAATCGTATTAATTACTCGGTATCTCCGTCGGTGCATTGGGATTACAAGGTTGTATCTATAACAGGGACACGACGCGATCCGTTATTTTCCGGATTAAAGAAAAGATGAAAAAAAAAGACAGAAAAAAAGAAAGTAAAGTTACTGGGAGAATAGAAATGAAATGACAGACACCACTGTCCCTGTCTCTCTTTATCTCTCGCTACGCCTGATCCCTTCGAATAACTTCTTATTCGAAGCCATTAATTCGTATCGAAGGAACAGAAATGAAGGCAAGCGGCATTCAGGAGAATAAGGAGAAAAAATAGAGAGAACGAGGGAAATGCCCAGGGACGATAAATTCCGAAGTAGTTTAGCATTAATGGTTACGCTATCATATAATAACGACCCTTCTGATATTGTTAGGAATAAAGTACCAGAGGTACCCCGGGTATCAGTGTACAGTGCCTCAGTGCCTGCTCACTTCGCATGTACCGGTGCACCGATCTACAAGGTGCATTCGTGTAACAGCTACTCGAAAGTACAAGCAACATTGAAAAATGCATCTACTCCAACCCACCTTTCATTGATGATGCTCAGATCGGGAGTCAGTAACAGGAGCTGGAAGATAAACTAATGGATAAAATACATCGATACACGAGCTGCTAGAAGCGAAAGGGGGGGGGGAGGACCTACAATAAAAGGAGAAAAAGTAAAATCCTCCAGCGAAGAGCAGGAAGAGCAGGAATTTTATTGTCGCTGCATGTCGAGCTTTATCGGTCGAAAGAATATTTTATTTGAGTGAGCTGAAACGTACTCGACGATCTAAGCGGTCGGGTTTTGGGTTTCCCGGGTATCCCAGTCCCTAATTTCGTCTGGCAGCCACTGGAATCTTAATTGTAACGAAGAATTCGAGGGTCTCCGCGGACAGAGAGGGGAGACGCGCTCGAAAGGTTGTGGCGGGAATCCAAATGAAATTTAAAATAGTCAATAATAAAATGAATTTCCAATTAGATTAAATCGATCATTCTTGCAACCTGGTTCCAGTTTTTTCAGTTATCCCTGCCGCTCCTATTAGAATTCCTAGGCTAACCGATCCCGGACTGAAGATACCAAAGGTAGAGAGAACTAGAAACTATGGGGAATAAAATAGCAAAAGAGTGTGGCAGCCCGGGCAGGATGGTATTAGGGTTCCCGGGGGTTCCTTGGAATTCATGGGTTTGCCAAGGGGTACCAGGAGCACGGGGGGGCTCTAGGGCCCCGTAGAGGAGCAGGAAGGGGAAGTCGCAGATGGAGTCGAGTGTTGTAACTCTAGCCTAGACGGCCGCCTCCTGCCTTCCCTGCTATCGATTACTTACTCAAGCTGCCCACGTTACTCTCTCACTGACACACATATCCACCTACTTACTAACACGTTGGCACTACCTCGACACCTCTCTCTCTCTCTCTCTCTCTCTCTCGAGTTCTCTCTCTCTCTCTCTCTCGCTCTCTCTCGCTCTCTCTCGCTCTCTCGAGATCTCTTAGTCATATAAATATACATTCTCTCTCTCTCTCTCTCTCTCTCTGATTACTTACTCAAGCTGCCCACGTTACTCTCTCACTGACACACATATCCACCTACTTACTAACACGTTGGCACTACCTCGACACCTCTCTCTCTCTCTCTCTCTCTCTCTCGAGTTCTCTCTCTCTCTCTCTCTCTCGCTCTCTCTCGCTCTCTCTCGCTCTCTCGAGATCTCTTAGTCATATAAATATACATATATACATCGTCATGCAGATAACAGCTGATTGCAGGATAAGGAAAATTTCTTTTAGTTCACTAAGTAGATAAAACTTGTACGTAGTCGGTCTCAGGTAGCTCAGGTAGCTCAGGTAGCTCAAGTAGCTCAAGTAGCTCAGGTATGTAACCTGGGCAATTGCATCTAGGTTCTCAAAGACGGTTCCCATTAGATGCATCCGGGAAGCAGGAGAAGACTGGTGAAGACTTGCCGAGAAGCTGTTGGCCGCCGTCAGCTGATCCAGTAAACGGTCCTTCTTAAAGAGGAAAGGACGAAGCTCGGGGCGTCGGGACGCCGTGTTCTACCAGTGGGCGATACAAGAGCCAAAGTGAAGTCCATCCCCACGCAATTAAGCCCCCAAGCTTTCTCTCTGTCGAGGATACAATTTTTGAACGTTTATCTATTTTTTGGTTATCTCGGTTGGACACGTTACGTTTCTCATTACGGGCCCATACGTTTCATTGGCACGAAGGTCGTCTTGAAGGTTAGATTGTATAACGTTATTGCCGGTAATATAGCGCGGTTTCAAGAGACAATTAACGAAGTTTTATGCCCCATCAAGATCCTCGAAAGCTTTCTTTAATCACGCCAAATGTATTGGTTTCCTGTTTCCCTGCTCTTTCCTCCTCTCTCTCTCTCTCTCTCTCTCTCTCTCTTTCTCCCTCTCTCTCTCTCTCTCTCTCTCTCTCTCTCTCTCTCTCTCTCTCTCTCCCCCTCCTACCTTCCTTTCTTCCACCTCCTCTTCCCTTCACTTTTCACTTTTTCTCTTTCTTCCCCTTCTTCTCGTAACGCAATCTTCTACCAAACTGCACCGATGCTTTTTGTTTCACCCGTTAAAGCAACTCTATGTAGTGGGTGGAGGGGTGGAGGGGGAGGAGGGGGGAGGGCCCCTTCACCCTCCGTTATCAACTTCGCAACCCCTGACGCTGAACCATCCACGATGTTCTGCTTTTATTGCGTCGCTCGGGTACCCTCCTCTTCATCGTTAAATACTCTGGTTCAATGAAATCGGTATATTAATACGGGTTCGCTAATTGAGTACACGCCAAAATAGCTTTGGAACGTATTTGTACTAATCGATAGAACACAATGATACGCGCCGCGTTAACGCGCCACGTAAACTCTCTCTCTCTCTCTCTCTCTCTCTCTCTCTCTCTCTCTCTCTCATTCGTTTCCCACTCGACCCACCCCTGTCTCTTTGTCTCTCTCTCCCTCGCTCCAGCCTCTCTCTGCGTCTTCTTCCAAGATACCTGATACCATTCGAAAATACATATCTCGTATAGATCAGCCTTGAGATGACAGAAGAGATGCAACATAGATGAACCTACAGTTATTTTTGGATTTATTGGAAAAATTCAAGGGTAACGTTCGCCTAAAATTAATCGGATTATAAAAATTAAAAATAGCCCATGGGTACATCATATTCTAGTAATTGATCTTTTCCGTCTACGAAATTCAAGATGTATTTACTTGTAAGCTCGTAAACGAAGGACGCTGAGCATTGACGACTCTTCTATCAAGATAATCGAGACGCTCTCGTTGATCCTTTCGATCGAGAGACTCCTTGACGATCCTTCCGCTCTCGCGATGATCCCTCCTTCCGGAAGGATAACTCGATCGAATTCATCGAGGGCAAACGAGTCAGCATCTTCCTCTCAATAAGCGAGCTGTACCCGTGGACTTGAGAGAAAGACGTTCAAGTTGACACCGACACCACGGTGAAACATTGCGGTATGGCCGATCAAAAGTAGAAGAGGAGTCTGAGGAGATGGACCAGGGTGGGTGGTGGTGGGAGGGAGCAGTGAAGATACCGAGTGAGCAAATAAGGTAGCGAAGCAGCTATAGAAGAAAGACAAAAGAAGGAAGTAGAAAATAAAAACACTTCTCCTTCTGGCGTCTTTCCACTATCGGCTACCCTATAGCTGCTTGAGCGAGCCCCTCTTCCCCTTCGTCACTCTTTTTCCCAAGCCCCCTTTCTTTCTTATATGCATCCTACGATATCGACAATGTGTCATGCCACTAATGCTACCCTTCATTTATGTTACAGAGACTGCAGAGTCGTAAGGGATCCACAGACGCTCAAATCCAAAGGATATGGATTCGTCTCGTTTGTCAAAAAAGCTGTGAGTATCCTGTTGTATATATGTTTCAATAGAAACTCCTCCATTCGCCTGTTCCGGACTTTATTGTCATTCAATTTCCTTATTCCTCGACTTCTCTCACGTAACATTTGTCGCTACCAAGGAGTTACGTTAAAGTATAATAATAATAATGACAGCCAGCATGCAATAACGTCGGGTAGAACGTCACGCGATTAGAACTTTTGAAAAATGTGGTCTGCCGCGTTTCCACGACTATACCTACATAAAAATACATAAATATACATTCCAGCTGAGGTCTGCAGTTGGTTCCCGATTGTACCGTAAGAATTGGTCGTGTGTAGAGACTCGCAAGCTGCCACGTCGCAAGAGCCGCAAACTCGTCTATTCCAGCTGGGAGCTGGGAAGGAGCCCTTCTTTCCCCTCCAACGAGTCCTCTTCCGACGCCAGGGTGCGCGCCGCTTGTCTTGGCGTCACTCAGCGAGCGTCCCGACGCGGCACCTTTCAGAGCCGAGCCAAGCTCGATATTAAAATGAATATCATTCAATAAAGCGCCTCGCGCGGCGCTTCCCCGAGAAAGTCTTGTCCCCTCGTGAACTACGTTGTCGGTGGGATCTTTTGCGGACGCTCGTCGTCTCGATTTTCCATCGCACTTTTATAAGGTGAACCACATGGGACGTTGAAGCGCCAAAGCGACGAGCCGCCGTACCACACGGGATCGCTGATTCTTCACACGCTGCCGTCTTGAATTTCATTCTCTTCTTTTCTTCCGCGTCTTCAGTGTCAACTGGCATATCCGGAAATCGTGATAAATATGTACACGTATATAATATGTATACCATGTACGATACAGTCGATGAGAATAAAAATGGGATGAAGAGGTAGAGGTCGAAGTCATGGGCCACCGTATACGTTGCACTATAGGTACCATGTACATTGTCTGCTCCGGGATAAGGGGAAGTGACGGACATGGCAATGCGGGTACTTTGAGACGGTCGGAAGAGGGAAAATGGGAAGAAGAGGCTTTGGAATTTACAGCAGCATTGAGTGAAGGCGGGCAGCGTCTCTCGCGTTTTATTAGTCCAGGCCAAAAATCCTCGACGTAAATCAGCGGAGATCTCGGGGCCGAGTAAAGGCGGCTTTTCCTCGTTTATAGCGGGATATTCGTAGAGACTGCCGGAAGGTAGCTGCTAGGACTTCGAGCGTCCCTGTTTTAATGCCCTATCGATCTGGACCACCAGCATCCTTCCCGTTTCCGCCTCTCCCTCCCATCCACCTTCTGGGCTAGTCTGGCCCATATCCTTCCTCCCGCAACCTCCACGTCTTCCCTACAAGATTACTATTGCCGAAGCTGGCTACGAAGTATAAATTTTCAGAGTGTCTCCGTCCTGGAGGAACACACGAAAATTCCGTCCTCGCAAACCACCGCGAATGGCCACCCCCTTCTGCCCCTCGCCCTCCTCAGGGCTCTGCACTCCCTTTTCTATCGTTCTATGCTTCTCTCTGGATTTTCTTATAGTTTCTGACTTTCTGTCTTTCGAGTCTTTTGGAATCTTTTCGTCCTCGATCCTCATGCCGGATGTACGAACCTAAATTCTCCTCGGACCGACGTTATACCGACTGACCCCTCTCGACCCTCCTCCTCCTCCACCCAGTCTATTCCAACCTTCTAAACTCAGGCTCTTTAGAAAATCAGACAACAAGATTTAAAGTTCCTCTTTGTCTGGACCACGTTGCACGCTGGAGACGCTACGTAGTAACCGGAAACTCCTTCTGATATTGCCACGGTTTCCTCGCCGCTACTTCCCTTTAGTTCACTCGATCAAAAAGGGATGGGTTCATCGTCGAAGCGAATGACGAATCATTTCGGGAACTGGTTCCTTTCGGCGATCCAGTTAGACTTCCGGTATACCTACGTGCGCTTCCGTACTCTCGTCATTCACATTGTACTTTCGTGGACATTATTTAGTAGGATTTTCAGGTCTTGTAATTTTCACATGAATTCATAAATCAATCGAGCACACTCGATCCTGCAGGCGAATGTTAGTTTTTGTAGGACATGCCCGGGTGAATAAGAAAAAAGTTGCCTTGTTCTCTGGGGCCACGTAAGCGCGTGCCTCGCGACACTCGACGTCTCATGATTGAGTAATAGGGCTATAGAGTCTATTGTGTTGGACTGGACAGCCTGGAACACGGCAGTGCGTATTTAGGTTCACAATACTACCGTCACGTGCTCCCTTCGTCTAGTTCCAGTCTAGCCCATGCCTGGTAGCTACGTGGCAAAGGAGAGGGAGAGAGAGTAGTAAGAGCGAAGAAGACAGATGTATAGAGAAGAGTAGAAGCTGAAGAAAGAAAGGAGACAGATATCGAGCGAGGTTTCGATTTCGGTGGCGACGCCGACGACAGCGGGAACGGCGTCGGCGTCGGGGACTAAGGCTTTCGGTTACTCTATCTAGGCTAACAGCGCGAATGTGCGGCATCATATCGGGAATGGAAATTCGAATCGGAAATACTTTATCCCTTGGTCCAGGATGGCTGTATGGGAATGGGTGGCGCTAGGTTTGAGAGTCGTGTGCTCCGCAAATGGTGAGCTTCTTCGATGGTTAGAATATACCTACCGTACAGGGGAAAGAGAGAGGAGAGCTTTCGAAATAGTCGCGAGCTTTTCCTTGAAGTATTTCTTCGCTATATTCCCGCCGCTCGGCTCCATATGCCAAATTCCAAAATTGCCTGCCGTTGTACAAACACGTTGCTGTTGATATCCCGATATCGTAGAGACGCCATCCTCCTTAAGTAGCCAGCGACGCCTGACGCGACGCCCTGCAAGACCAGCCATCCCTTATTTTTCATACAGCCGCCGTGGAGAAGCAACGGGTGAACGGATGGATGGATGGATGGATAGGGTTGCTTTATGGGACGGGGCGAGAGGGGGGTTAACCCTCAAAACGACGCCACCGTTTCAACACTCTATGCTCGCTCATCTCGATAACGTCTTTCCACAGTCCCTTTCGCAGCTTCCTTCTCTCTTCCTCTTCGCCTTTAGGTTGTTGGTCCTCGTTGGATTCTCCGAATCCTTCAAGATCCCTCGCGACGTCTCCTCGACCGTGTCATCGGGACGCTCGACTCCCCCAGAACGCAGTTCCTTCTGCATCGACGCCTCGACTGATCCGCGTTTGTCTCTGCGACGCTATCGTGCTCGAGACAAAGATGCGAATGAAAGGGAAAGGAGAGGGAAGGACCAAGAGTCTGGAAAGACGAAGATGCAGAAAACTCGCAGCCAACCAGCCAGGAATAAGGAATCCTGGATATATGTATAGGACGACCCGAGAGGGTTGTCGGGTTGTTGGGTAGTCGGGTATCCTATCGTTTTTTACGCTCACCCTGGTCATCCGATCTCATTTCAGATACCCGAGTTACCGGCTGGTTGGCCACTCGCTGGAGCATGCACGCTCCCACTCTCGCTCCCTCTCCTCCTTCTCCTCTAAACTCCTCTTTCACGGAAAGAACTTCCGCTTCTCCCTCCCAAGCGTACCGGGTACCCCACTACCGGTTTTATGCTGCCGGAGGAAATTTGATTGAGGCTATTTTTGTATCGTGAAATTTGCCTCTTATCGTTCCTGTTTCTCGATGCTTCCAGGAGGCAGAAAGTGCCATCGGCGCCATGAACGGACAATGGCTCGGCAGCAGGAACATCCGGACAAATTGGGCGACCCGCAAACCGCCGGCACCGAAATCCGAAGGTAAGTCGATCTTCTTCCATTTTTCACAATTTCTCTATTGTTATCTTGGTTATTACCATTAGAGAATCGACGGACGATCGGAGCATCGTTTCTCTCTCTTTCTCTCTCTCTGTCCTCGTATCTCATCATCCTCGGAAAGCGTTCCCACGTCACTACCTTCAATGGCAACCTACTTCTACGCTGACTGGTGATGCCTTCATACGTTCCTCGGCTTCCTACAACTTCCTCCAGATCCTGCGTTCCTAGTTTCGTGGCCTGTACCCACTTGCATGTTTCTCAGGTACTTAACCAAGGGTGTTGGAGATGCCTGCTCGTTACATTCCATCCTCGTCATCTCGGTGATGAGACTCGCGACCCTAGAATTTCTAGCGTAAGTCAAGTTAAGCCAGGCAAACCCAAGAGGAAAAGTCTGCTTCGCGTTTGCATCAACCTTCATGTTCACGTTCACGTAGTGAGTTTGAGTGGATCGAGAAGCCCGAGGCTCCGTATCTCTCTCTTTCTCTCTCTCTCTCTCTCTCTCTCTCTCTCTCTCTTTCTCTCTCTCTCTCTCTCGAAGCTTCGAAACTGACATGGCGTGACCCATCTCCTCAGCGTCCTATACTCGAAAAATTACGAGCGTAACCTCGACATCGCTGAAGCAAATTTCGATGTCTCTTTACAAAATAATCGCTACGACGCTGCCCGAGGCGTCGTGACGCCTATCGTATCTCTTCCAAAATTATTTTGAAGGTCTATCCTATCTACAGCATATTCATCGAAAGTCACTATACCCTATATATATATATATTGTGACGTGATTTTTCGATTCACGTTCACAAGGCGACTCTGGCTACCGATAGAGATAACGTATCCGACGGAGACGTCTCCACGGACCGGCAGAAGTGCGGGTCAGATACCGGCGCCCCGCTGGAGATGGGCAAAGGACTGTAGAGCGGGCGAAGATAGTTGTGATACGGTTAAGGGCAGGAGAGGAACCTCCTGCCCGAGTTAAGGATGTGGTGTCCACCTGTCGCCCGATGTCCTGGGGAAGCGATCGTGGAGGATCTCCCAGTATTACCTACCGATCCACTAAGGAACGCTCTCGGTTTGGTTTAAAGAAACGACTCGAGGGAGATGGAAGAGTTATCGCCTATGAGGATCTCGACCAATCAGAATGATTAGTTCTCGAATTTGGCTATTGTCAAAGCAGTCTGTCTCGGGACACTGTCCGAGGTGTCACGAGCTGCCTCGCGCTCCTGGGTTGTCTGTTGACAGTTTTTCTAGCCGTGTTTCGATATAGCAAGTTCTCGCGTTGCTTTCGCGATATCCAGGAAATTCTATGGACTTCCTGTGAGTGTTCCGGAGGTGTAGTGTCGTGCCCTAGTGCAGTGCCCACCCGAATGTTCTCTGGATACGATTTTTGGCTTTCACGGATCAGCTGCACCAGCTCCGGTGAGTTCTCCCAATTTATTAACTGGTGAAGGGATTTCGACTTAATACGTTCGATTCGTTCTGTTACATTCCCGGTCCGCTGCTTTCTCTCTCTCGCACTATTTGATCCCAAAAATCTATAAGATCCGTTAAGTTATCGTCTCTTCTGATAGGTTTCGTCAGCGCTCTCGTCTCGGTGGGGTTGGGCCTGTTCCAACCCAACTCCCAGTTCATACCGGCTCCTCGGTTCCCGGTGAAAAAAGAATTAGCTGGCAATTAGGTTGGTTCTCGAAGATAGTTCGTTCTCAAATTTTTCGGTATCGGTGTTAAGTTAAGAAGAAAATATGTTACAATATATATGTCACATCCGGGACTCTGCTTACCAATACGAAGAGAAGGGATATACTTGAATATATCCTTATATTACGAAGTTACCGCAACCACCCTTAACATCCTCAAAGAAGAGGAAGCTGCTTCTTGTATCTACTTTAAAAATCTCTTACCCGTCCTCTTCGTCCTCTTTTCTCGTACCCAGATCCGGTGAATATGTCCGATATCGAAATCTTGTCAGGTTTTCAAGTATTTGGCAATCTAGATGAATCTAAGAGACATTTCGCAGCATCCTACTAAAAACATCACCTTCCGCGTGGTATCAATCGGAGCGGCAGGGTTGGTGAGATGCGTTGAGATGAATAATGGGGGAGGTGAGCCAAAGTGGGGAGGGTAAGAAAATAAAAAGGGTAAAGTTGTAGTTCAAGGCTGAAGGGGGGGCGGGGGGGCGAGTCAGCTGGGG